GCCTGGCGTGGCTGAAGTCTTCACAATGAGTTATTTACTTTGCGGAGGGAAGGAGGTGATGTACAATCACCGCTTATCACTCTGGCTTAGCAGTGGTCGCAAACACGCGTAACTTCTGAGCGTTCTCAGCAGTGCACACTGGGAGATCAAAAGGAACGATAAATTGCGGTCAGTGCAGACAGCCGGCAGAAGAACACGGTGGGCTTTTTGTTTACACAATGGAATTGCTTGTGTGTGTGAGTTGTGTTGTTCTAATGCTCTCACACTGCCGCTGGCCACATTAGTGTGCTGGATAATTGCGTTTTCTGACATGAATAATTCAGCAGCAGGGTGTTTGTCAAGCCTCGGAGTGTGTTTGTGAGTGTGTGTCTCACTGAAGTGGCAAGGTAAGATTTCATCAAGTCCAGGATGTCTGTCAAAACATGTTTTCTCCTTTGCCACTGTTGTCAGTTCTCTTTTTTCTCTTCTTTTCTCCACAGTGGAGTTTTTGATGGCTCCCTGAGATGCCTATCACATCTCTCATTCTTTCCCTCTCTCTCCATCTTCTGGCCTATCCGTCTCCCGCTGAGTCGTGCTCCCTCCCTCTCCTCCCAGATCCTCCCTCTTTCATCATTTCTCCTAATCCTTCACCCTCTGCATCAATCGCACTGACTATCCACTGCTCCTCTGACATCCTTTTTTTTCAGTTCTGAAACACAAATGACTGGTTTATATTCAAGGCTCTCTTTCAATTTCCGAAATAAACAAACCTGATGTAAATGTTAAGATGGCAAGGTGCTCCATAGTCTCAGACGTCACTGCCGTAGAGCACTAACAGACTATTTGAGGCCAATTTTATGCATGCGGCACACATAATGGAGCTCTTTCAAAATCCAATCTGATTAGCTTTACACAAATCCTGAGCGTTTGTGTATACAGGATTTTATTGAACTGCAGAAAACAAAGCCCTGTTTACAAGTTTGCAGACTTCTTCAATGGACCACTTCCAAAGATGAACTTGATGATAGATTTACCAACATGTTCTCACTCCCAACTCGTCACATATTGACTCTTGGTCAGGACCCCTTGGCATCAGTTTTTAATGCACTGGGCAAAAATTTTCAATGTGCAGGTTACTCCTTTACTTGTTTGCCTTGTGCATCAGATCCCTTAATTCTTTGCAAGCATTTGTAAAAGTGAGCACCTAACCACAACCCTTCCCTGAACAATTTCTCAACAATATAAAACACGTAACAGTCAGACAAAAATACAGTCACAGGAATTTAGGGCAACAACTGACCAGAAAACAGTATAAGCATTACAATCAGCCCGTGTTATATCCCAAGTCCTCTGGAGTCATACAATATATTTTTATGAGGAACAGAGTGAAACTTCAGGCCTTAATCGCTGAAAATATTCCCGCTCCATTAACAAAGTCACATCCCATACAAAAGATAAATCTTAACATTAACATGATGCAATCAGTCACAAAGCACACAACAATCAACCCTAACATAACGCTTCTTTCATGTGGCAATTTGTAATGTGTTTATGATTTGAACGTCACGGCTGGAGGCGGTGATCACTTTTGGGTCTGTTCCTTACGCAAATTAATCATTTAGCTTTAGAAGACTTGGAATGTTTGTCTTTTGTTTTTTTAATTGTGACTATAGTTGCATATGTCTGTTATATCCTTTGTTTGATATTGACAAATGTAAGGATCAGGGGTAGCGGTTGGGTTAGGTGCTCAAAATCGAAATAGTGTAATTGATGTAAGAAGAAACCAGACTCACATGGGTGACCAGTTCTCCCTGGGCCTAAGCAAAGACCACAGGAGAACTGGTCCCCCATCTGAGCCAGAAGTAAGGAGAACTGGTTCCCCATTAGGCCAGAGGAGCATCTGAACCTCTCTTCTGCCAAGTTTTTTTCTCCATTTCTGATGGAGTGTGGGAACCTTGCCACTGTCACCTTTTGGCTTGCTTAGTTGGGGACACTTCAATTTAAAATGATGTATCGAAATGACCACACTGACACCACCGGCTGAAAGCAAAACTTGGTATCAGTCGAGGTATGTCACATTCAGTGGGAAAGGAAGGGTTGTAGTCTGTTCAGCAAGGACTTACTGAGACTGACCCAGAATGGGTCAAATTTGTCAGCGAGTCTCAATCTACCTGTCAGGAGTAGCAAACCAAGCAACAAATCAGTTGTTTAAAGAGCAGTAATCTCATGAGTATATGACACTGACCATGACACACTGCACTTTGAGTGCCACATGACCTATAATTGCACTCAACTAACACCAGCCCCTCAGCCACACTCCAGAACACTCCAAGGACAGCACTTCATCGATTCCGGCACAACAGCTTCTTTGGAGTTCACCGAACATGCCCATGGTGCAGACTCCTCCTCTCGATTCTCTTTCTCTTTTTCTCTAAAGGGCGAGGGCCGGCCGGGGGCATCAAAGCTCATTTTTCTGCAGTTCCCTCAGGACCAGACTTCGGCTGTGAGCAAAGGTTAATGCTGACGCCCCTATCAATAAGTCACTGCCCGCATTTGACGCTCACGCTTTCGTAAAATGTCTGCAATTCCCTCGGAGCCTCGGAGACTAATCGTATGCGTGCAGATATATTAAAATAAATAAATAAGGCCCCTCAGCACATTAGCAGTTCTGTTCTTTCTCCGTTCTGTTACTTTCTCTCCTGATGTCATTATAATAATTTGAGGTTAATTGCGTTGTGTCTTTGAATATCATAAAGCATAGACTAAATGCTTGGCTGTTTTGATTTATTAGACTGTAACCTGTCACTGTAGCAGAGTGTGTCAGTCTTTTGATTTAGAACTTCCTTGATGATGCGTTAATAGTCTGGCACTGTGATTGGCTCACATGACAAGGTTCCCATAGCATCATATTAAACCATCACGCTCTCTCTCCCTCATGGAGACCTACAAAATAGCATCAATAACCCTCCACTGTCCTCTCTCTCGCCACTTTATTTGCAATAACTGTCAGCAGTAGAGTGATGCGTTTGTGATCTGATTTTTATGAACATACTTGTATGGATTATTGAGATCCTTTAATGCCTGTACGGGGTGCATTGAAAAGCCGAAGCCTCCTGAATGTTAATGTGACAATAAGAGTAATGAAGCGTCCAACAGTTTATCTCTTCCCTCGCTTTCTCTCTTCCCACCCCTGTCGTTCTGTTGTCTTAAACTCCACATTTTAAGGGGGAGTTGATGAGAAACGAGGTGGAGCGGGAGAGTTGGAGAAACTGTGTCTTCATTGATGGTGTCTTTAATCAAATCTTGCTGGAGCCAAAGAAAGGAAGTCAAACCTCATCTTCACCCGCTCTCAATCACCTCAAACTTAAATAAGGCCAAAATCAATCAGCCCGCAATTGAACTTTCTTCCGGGGACGTGTTTTTCAAGCCTCTATGAAGATGGCACACATCAAAACATGCTGGCCTCTTCGATAGGTTTGGGTGTGTACTCTATGGTATTTTGAATCTTTTTAAGAGAGAGAGAGAAAAAAAGCAGATTCCTAAACACTCTGCCATTGGTTGACGGAAACATAGTCCAACCCAGTCCTGTGGTGACTTCTCTGAAAAAAAAACGATGTTGCTTCTTGCACGTTTTGTGACACTTTCCAAGTGGAAAGTCTAAAAGCATGCTAAATTTGATCTAAAACAGAAACACATGAATCCGGCAAGGTTTTATTACGTTGGTACTTGTATCCAACTTGTACTTGTTCGGAAATGAAATGTCCTGTGAGTGACGCTAAAACATAGCACCTACACTAAACCTAAGCAATAGTGTTAACAAAATCAAATGTGAGATAAAAATGCATTTGCTGAAGCAACAGTGACATTTTAGCTTGTTTCTACAAGTCTTAAAGACCTATCATGATTCGTGTTTTATGGAACTCGTAAGAGCAATGTTGTACCGGGTGCGCTATAGAGCAAGTTTACTACATCAGAAAAGCCATACATATGGAGCCGGTTATGTGATGCAAACATCAAAATGCACTAGTGCACCAACAATGTGCTATGGTGAAAATGATGATTAATTGATAATCTACTGCTGTAATCATAATTTGCATGAAAAATAATAAAAGTTGTTGGTGTTTTACTGCCTCTAGTGGTCATTTCAGCTGGAAACGGCAGTAAATTGTACACTAGTGCACCAACAATGTGCTATGGTGAAAATGATGATTAATTGATAATCTACTGCTGTAATCATAATTTGCATGAAAAATAATAAAAGTTGTTGGTGTTTCACTGCCTCTAGTGGTCATTTCAGCTGGAAACGGCAGTAAATTGTATGTTGGCCTATAGGTAAGTTTTTGGAATTTTGCACAAATGTAGGTAGAGGCATGTTTTTGCAATTAGCCTGTGTTGACAGAGTCACATTGTTTGGGTCTGTATTGCAATTTTGATAGTAGACATAGTTACCTTTAAATTCAGGTAACTAGTGGCTAACAATTTTAGCTATAAACATGTAGACAGTAACTAACTTGAACTTTCTTGCTCAGCTTAATTCTCTTCAAACTGTCTGACGCATTTTGCAACAAATCAAGCTTACATAGCTAGAAGCATTCATATATCAGGATTTAGACTTCCTGTCATCAACATTGCTAAGTGCAAAGGAGGAATTTTACTGATGCTGTAAGCAACAGATCACTGAGACAGCCAATGGGAACCTTCAGCACTGGCTGAATACAGAAGCATCTTTATGGAATGTTGACCAAGAAAAAAAAAATCTGCATACAAATGCCAAGGCAGCCTGGAGTTCATCTGCACTCCTGAATTATCTTTTATGGAAATAATAATGACTTCAAAACGAGTTAAGGCAAGTGGCAGCACACATGTGACCTAAATAGGCCAGAGGCAGGGAAAGAGTTGAAGAGGCCATTCCATGGTGCTATATGAACTCTATGTGATATCAAGACTATTTATGGCTATTGTTAAGCCATTTTAAGATGGTTGCACATTTAGGTGTGTGGGAGTGTGAGCGTGTGACTCACCACTTCGCGGGGCAGGAAAGTGTCCTCTTGTCTGACGATGAGAAGACCTACAGTGCCTCCCATGGGAGTCGAGCGCAACAGAGCCACAACCTCCTCCTGTGTCTTACCATTCAGATCCACTCCATTAACCTACACCCACACAAACAGAAATCATCAGAAAAATGAGGATCTGACAGCAAAATGCTGCTCCTTTGTCTCAACAGTGAAGCAAATCAGTTTCCGTCAATGTATATTTTTCATTTTGTAAACCACATGCACTAAACACAGACACAATCATTTTTAAAACATTTTTATATTATATAAAATAATAAATAATAAGAATGCACACACACACACACACATTTATTTATAAATGTTATTTTAGTACTATTTTCATAACATTATAGCATTATTATTTAGCTTTTTTATAATTTTCAATTTTCATTTTAGATTAGGTTTTAATCCCTTTGTTATTTGCATTTGTCATTTTTATTATTTGTTTAATGTATTTTAGATTCAATTTATTTTTAATTCAGTTTTAGTTCTAGAAATTTCAACTAATTTATATCAATTACTTGCGTTTTGATGTAGTTATTATATAACTATAATAATATAATAATTAATAACAATAAGTTATTATAGTTAACTAAAATTAAATTAATTAATTAAAACCATAAAAAATCATTACTTGAAATAAATTCAACTTTAAATATTTTTTTTTTAATTCAGTAGTTGCCAAGGCAATATTAACTTGATCTACTAAAATTAAACTCCAAGTAAAACTGATATAAAAAATTTATACAAACTATATAGACATATTTATAAAAAACAAAAACTAATAAAAATGATAAAAAACAACAAAATTGCTAAAAAAAATTTAACTGAAATTAGAAAGAAAACAGAAAATATAAAAATAAAAACAAAAAAAAAATATTTAGTTGCTATGTTAACTATATTATGTTTTTCATTCAGTATTTATAATCTGTTTTATTTCAGCTTTTTTCAACAACGTGAACAAGTCTTAAAATTATTTTTAGCTAAAATTAACTTACATACAATACATAACATTCCTAATATCAGAAATACTACATATAGTAGTAATATATACACACATAATCATTGGTTAAACAGGTTTGAGCTTCATATTAAAAAGCTTGACCTGTGCAAAAGGCGCTGCTGTCAAATTTGACGTTACAGGATGCTGATGTGAGACATTTGAAAGAGTGTTTAATAAAGCAACAAATAAAACCTGAATTATATTCTATGTAATTACATCCAATCAAGCATTACAATTAACTGCAGTCGCATTATTGTGACCATGACAACAGGAAGTACTGTCCTGATATTTCTATGGCAACATAAAGGCACGGGGTGAAGCGAAAGCACTCTGAAAGGCCTCGACTCCATTAAAGCGATGAATCAGGGTTTGTTAAGCCAAATGGATGACGTTCTGGCTCCGCGGTAGCATCTGGCATGAGAGCCTGCAGGTGTCCTGCTCCATTTCTAAATGAAATAGCCATTGTTGATTGGCTGTCACTGTAAATCAGCCATCAGCTAAACTTCTTTTTGTCCATTCTCTTTTATTGAGGTTATTCACTCTCCCAAACTAAAAAGGAAAGTGCTTCTCACAAGGGAGAGAGGAAAACAATGGACATCTTGCCTCCGATAGACCAAGCAGAATGGACTATTGTTGGGATTTTAAAATAAGAAAAGCAGTATATGGTGCTGAAAGTTCAGGAAGCTGTGAACAGGAAGAGGAAGTGAGGGCCGTGTGATGTCACTCGTCGCTCTCAACCGCTTCCAGGTTTTCTCACCTCGAGCAGCCGGTCTCCAGCTTTCAGACGGCCGTCCTGGATGGCGGCTCCACGCGGGAGGATGTTCTTCACATATATGGGGGCGGAAGTGCCAATCGGGACGTCTCTGGAGGTGATGCTAAAGCCCAGCCCCTCCGGACCTACAACACAAAAATAACAAACAATGCATGTGTAAATGAACTAAAGAGTCTGGCTAGAGATCAAACAATGACCGTCTGGGAATGTAATTTCACATTTTTAAGCTTAGTTTGGGTTGTAAAATGTCACTTTTTACAGCACATTTTTTTATTTATTTATTGTTTGTTTGTTTTATATATTTCAATTTATTTAAATGTGAACCAACCCCCCTAAAAAAATGTTTTTAATATATTTTCAGTTTTTATTTTCATTTTTGTTTAAGTGTTCGTAATTTTGATATGTACTTTTGTTATTTTCATGTTATTTCAGTTTCTGTTTTTTAATTATTATTATTCTTTTTTTTTTTAAAGATTTTGAATATTTTATGGTTGGAAAGACCTTTTCCAGTTTTCATTTTAGTTTGTTTCAGCAATTAATGTTCTTTTGCATTTTTTTTTATATATATTTTTTTGGATATATATATTTATAACTTTAGTTTTCATTTTCATTTTAGTTTAAGTCTTATTTTTATATTTTTTTTAGATGTATTTTTACATTTAGTTTATTTTTATTTCAGTTTTAGTAATTTTAGTACTCAAATGTATTAGTTTCAGTTATCATATTACCATATAAAGCCAACATCAATATAAAAATACATATCTAATAACTTGGCAAGTGTTTTAAACTAGATTTTTTTTATATGATTTTTCTTTTTCTTTATCTTGAACACTCATATCCACTCAAAATGTTGACTTCAGTGCAATTTTTTTCACCAAGGCTTATTACAAAATACAGTAAAAATTCTGAAATATTATTACGGTTTCAAATAGCGGTTTTCTATGCGAATATATTGTAAAATGTAATGTATTTCTGTGATGCGCAGCTGTATTTTCAGCATCATTCCTCCAGTCTTCAGTGTCACATGATCTTCAGAAATCAGTATAATATGCCGATATGCTGCTCCAGAAACATTTCTGATTATTATCAATGCTGAAATTGTGATACATTTTATTTTTCAGGTTTCACAGATGAACAAAGTTCAAAAGAACAGCATTTATTTGAAATGGAAAACTTTTTTAACATTATAAATGTCTCTTGATGAATTTCCTTGCTGAATAAAAGTATTAATTTCTTTGAAAAACAGCTAAAGTGTTGCAAACATTTCGTGAATTCTATATTTGACACGGATTGCATATCGTCCGCAGTAAAATTACAGTCCTGCTCAAGTCTACTGTATCTAATAACTAATCTGAATCCATCAGACGGGATATTTTTATGTCTTTAAAGGTTATAGAGAAACAAACAGTGTGTTCCATGACTGCCTGTGCGCACAAATACAAATTACACAGGCAAAGCCCAAGCATATGGCAACACAGGCCACCCTAATTAAACGTTTCAAACCCATCTGTGTGCGCGGCACAACCGCAGCGTGACTTCAAATTTAGACCCGTGTGTTTCAGAGGCACGTGCTTTACAAATCTAGCGGGGCAGTAACATGACATGCTCGGGTCGTCATGCCAGCTCCTCCAGAACACACACTGTAGACATTTGCTTTTCCTCATTGAAAACAAGGCCAACTCCCTTCAAACCCAGCTTTGAAGGGTCTTGATGTGCGCATGCATCAGGCAAATTGAGCTTTACAGCTCGCCACAGACATTAGTAAATCCTGGAAAATGTAGTTAGGCTCAGACATGGGGTACGCACAGCAATTTGCTCCCTGTCCACAAAATGACCTTTTTGGGAGTGCCAAATGAATACGAATAGGCAGATGTAGGAGAAGCGGAGAGAAAGAGTAATAGTCGGGACACAGAGGGATCAGTAAGGTTGACCTTATCATCCCAACAACGGCTGTAATGGTAAAAGAAAAGGCAGTGGGGGAGATAGAGAGACTGATAGGCCGGACACGTGTTTTTATCTGGAGACACATTTGTAGCCTTCAGGACTGTCTGTGTTCGCTTATATCATATCTGGGATATGTCGTGTTCATGGTTTGTGCACAAAAAGGGAATTTTTCAAAAGGTTAAACACAATACTCCAGCATCAAAGCAAGTTATGCTCAATAAAACAACACTTGTGGCATCATAACACAAATAAAAAAAGGGAGTCGAAAAGTGAGGGACAGAATACGGTCACATTTAACGTTATTCTGCGAATTTTCACAGGCAAAATCCATTCATTTCAATAGAAATCGGTGCAAATCTGGAACTTCACATGAGGGTGAAAGATTTTAAAACGTGGATTTAGCAACGTGTTAAAGTTGGCTGTGTTGACTTACAGAAAGCTGCTTGGTGATTTCCGTGACTTCTCTTCATACATCAGTACACTATTAATCATTACTGGGCATTTGCCCATGAAATTTCACCAACATTTTACTAATGTGATCGAATCTTCACAAGAGAAGTGAATGGGGCCAATTTGCAAACGTTAAAGGTGCAGTAAGTGATTTTTGAGAAGCTCTGTTTATATTTGAAATCACCAAAACATACACGCCCCTACCCAAAAGGATCACACCTCTATCTTAATAGCTCCGCCCCCAAATTTACAAACATGCTATGCAGCACAGGCAACTCCCCTATCATGAGTGGACACGCCCCTTACTGGTGATTGGCTAGAAGTGTGTTTTAATGCTCGGTCCAATCCACTTCCACTACAGCGTTTCTCAGAATAATTATACATTATATATAACATAGACTATATATCTATTATATATAGATAATGAACATTATGCCACAAATGCCCTTGATTGAGCTTAACTTGTATTGAAACTCCCACGTTCCAAAGAACACAAGCCTGCCGCAGCATGAGCCGGTGTTGCTGGTCTGGGGTCAGTAGCTGTGCTGTTCTCTAAATGGTTTATGTTTGTTATGGTGCTGGGCTAACTGCTCCAAGACGTACGGCCACAGCCAGCAGAAGTGAAGCCAGAGTCAATAACAAGTCTGTGAGGCTATCAAAACCCCACCTGATGCCCCCTACAGGATAATTACTACAATCAAACTTTCGGCCATTAGGACATTTAGCTGTTAACGGCTTACAATCAAGTAATTACAGGGATGGAACACTAATAGCCCCGCGCTAATTAATCACGTATGTAGCACGGTCTACTTTCAGGGGTTTTTCTGGGGGGTTTTTTATTATGTGAGAGAAAGATAATAAAAAATGCTGTCTATGTGACTGTGCCAAAGTCTTAAAGCTTAAAAAAATCAAGCAATGTAAGGCAGTACAGAAAATTACAGCTTGAGGAAGAAAATTAGGAAAATGTTCTCCGCAATGCATTAATTTATGAGGGCTTGAGAGAGAAAGCAGGAGGAATAGACAAATGAGAGAGGACGATGTGGTCTTAGACCTCTTAAAGTGCTATTTTAAGATTATCATAACAAAAAAAGACAAATGGACTAACGGAAAGAGAAGGAAGACTCTTTAAATGAGTGAAGCTCCAGTGGGAGAACAGAAACATCCCACATCCACTTAGCAGAGAAAAAAAATCATATTTGCCTTATTATCCATTAAATTATCAAAACTGTAAAAATGGGACAAAATTACTTTTTCCTGAGAATTTCCCTGTTTGACATACATACATACATAATAATAATTATTGTTATTATTATTAAAAGACAAATGGAGACATTTATGTGTCCTTGCAGTGTTCACTTACAGAAAGATGGCTGTACATAATAAATCATTATTATAAAAAATATGAATAAAATATAATAGTAATAGAAAAGTAATAGAGTTACCATATATCATATTTGCCTTATTATCCATTAAATTATCAAAACTGTAAAAATGGGACAAAATAACTTTTTCCTGAGAATTTCCCTGTTTGACATACATACATACATAATAATAATTATTGTTATTATTATTAAAAGACAAATGGAGACATTTATGTGTCCTTGCAGTGTTCACTTACAGAAAGATGGCTGTACATAATAAATCATTATTATAAAAAATATGAATAAAATATAATAGTAATAGAAAAGTAATAGAGTTACCATATAACCAAGGAACACAACATCAAGCATTTAAACTCAACAAGAAAAGAGTTGGAAAAAGCTGGGGATAGACCTTAAAACAGAAGAGTTGTAGGAGGCATAAAATATGATTTTACATTACATTTTTACTGATGTGTTTTAAAAAAGCTTATAAAAACACTAAATGTGAGCTATTCACCGCTACAGTCGCTTGAGCAGAATGAACCTTGAGTATAAACAGCATTAGATGCATTATTTTATTTCAGCAGTGCACCTGTCACTGAATAAAACTCGAATTTGATATAAAGACAACACTGTTTTTCATAAATCTAGAAGGGTAAAGTGGGTAAAGTGCCCAGAGCAAATAAATCTCTCAGCTGGCACAGACGTGTTGAAGCCAATCTGAGAGAGCTCTGACAGATTAAACAGGCCCGACAAGGGTCAATAACCTCACTGCAAACGGGACGAAACGAGAGAGTGCATCAGCTTCCAGGTGAAGTCCCGGGCAGAGAGCAAGCCTTCGGTGTTTGTACTGATAAATGCTGAAGGCTCCCACAGATCTGCTGTATTTAGCCTGTAACACAAGCTCAGCTCAGTCCAGCACGCATGCCAGAACTGCAGCGCTCAACATCTGCTGCATCACAGCCAGACGCCAGCGGGCGATTCACCCTGCGCTTGTTCATTTCCCGTCTCCCTCCCTCTATCTCTGCGAATCACAGGGAGAGGAGATGAAGATGGACTGATAGTGAAGAGTGGCGTTCGTGTTTGGATTCAGGGCTCCTACACCAGTGTTTCCCAGAGAGGGCTGCTAGTCTAAGATTAGAATTACTGTGTCTAGTTAACTAGTTACTTGAAAAAAAAAAGTAATCTGAATACTTAACTGGAGTTGCAATAATGCATCACCCCAACACAGGTAATTATGAAATTACATAAAAAGATGTTTTTAAGTGGGTCAAAAAAGCACTGTAAGCTTTTGCTAATTTCATTTAACACAGATGTAATGTATAATACATGTTGAGTTCATTGCAATTATCATGCAATTAAGTGTTCAAAAACATTACATTCAGTTCACACTTAAGTATATATTTTTGTAAGAAGTATTTGTTTTACTAGGTATGTCTAAGTGTTCTTCTTTTTCACAAGATGTAAACTAACTAGGACACTTCCCAATACTATGACAATACTAGATACTGTGAGGACTGTCAGTCTACTCACTTCTATGGATATTACAGCCCAAAAAGGCTACAAACACACATAAAGCTCTTGAGTAACACCTAACAGAGGCTCCAGCATGCGACAGGCTGCGTGTCAGACACCAGCACAAAACTCCCTCTTTCACCCGCGGCTGTCTTTTCAATTAAAGGCTAGCGTGGCATACGCCTGCCCTCCCCAACCCACTCCATATTTCACACCGCGCTGAAGCCCGGCCCATTTGTTGTCAGGATTTAATTGTGTCTTTACCGCTCCCTCTCCTGCTGCGTCAACCTAATAGATGCGAATGAGACAAGCCCACGGACAAAGAAACTGCTTTTTGCTCTTTCATTTAAACACGCCGGAGTGTGTGATTACGACATGGTGACAAAGAGGGGAGGGAAAACAGCATCAGAGAAACAGAAAGTTTCGTGGGTTGACGTTCTAGCATTTTCTTCTCAAAAGCCGCCACTAATGGAGATCAGAGGCGCTGCTGCATAAGCAGTAACAGATATTCCTCAGACGTCTTGGTTTATGCATAAACATGCGTGTGTTTGTGTCTGTTTGGGTGTGTTTGTGGTATCTCTGATAGACATTTCCAGTTGTCCCGCGGTGTGAAATGCTGAGATGCAGCTGCCGTGCAGAGCGAATGGGATTTGGAGCCGTACGTGAGTCTGAGAGGAAGCTGCATCCGCACTTCCTGACAATAGCAGATCGAGTCCTTTGAAGTACTAACTGCATTAGTTACACAATGTTAGTCGCTACAGCGGAAAACATACACCGCCATTCGCACAGATATCATCAGCTATTAAAACAGCAGAAAATACAGGTAACTTCAGAGGAAAACAAACAAATAAATAAATGAATGCATAGCGTACACTATTTTTTATTGCCAGGGCAACAAAACGTCTCGTGTGAGTGTTTTCTCACATTTTCACTTCAGTGGCCAAAAGCATCTGGACATCAGAGTCTAATTAAAGATTTTGGTTACTTCAGTTAAAACAGATCTTAATGTGACGCTATACAATGACATTCTAGAGAACTGTGTGCTTATGAATTTGTTCCAATTTGATCATTATTAATTATTAAATTAAAAGTTCAACACGCATGTATGAGTGTGGGGTCATATTCTTTTGGCCATATCAGTGTTATTGTTAACTAAAACTAGAACTAGTAAAAATTGTTGTTGTTAATTGAAATAATGCTGGATATAATGCCAGAAATAATGCTTAATAATAAAAATAAAAATAATTATATATATATATAAATGTTGCTTTCAGCTATAGTAGCAATAAGACACATTTTCCCACAATGAAATTCATTCTGCAAAACACTGCAGATTTGAAAAAGTCTACAAATCACATCTGGGCCGACCCATCAGCGCTCTACCAAATCTGACAAAGTGGGCTATTTCAATTAACTAGGTAAATGTACTCATATGTAAGGTCATGTTACCGTGAAGCGCTGTGAATCAGTATGATGAGACTTGAGTAACCATACCTTTCCTCAGCTGGACATTGAATTTGCGGCCGATCTTTTTAGAGTAGCCCACAGTGGAGGCGGCACTGGTGGGTCTGGAGGGCTGGTTGGGGCCCGGTGGGGTCTTGTTTGATGTGTTTGCTATGTGCGGTAATGTGGGATAGCCCAGGGTCGATTCGGCTTTGGACATTCTCCACGGGCTGTAGTCGACACCTCCTCCCACCAGACTGGCCCTGTCCCCGGGGCCCGAAGCAGCCTGAAGACCCAGTTCATTCTGAGACAGCAGCTCGTACTGGGCTTTCTTCACCGCTGGAACTACATGGAACAGGATGAGTGGAGAACGCATAGCCTGTCTGAACAAATTCTGGGCCCTGAGGGGAGAGAACAGCACACACACACACACGTCTCAGTAAGGATGTATCTCATTGTCAATTACTGAACAGGCTCATCCTAAGTACTGGGATTGTTAAAAGCAGAGCACATGCAGAGGTCAAAAGGTCGCCTTGCTTTATCGTTGGCTAATTGTACTAGTACAGTTGGAAACAAGGTTAATTCAAGTTATCTGCCATTTCCATAATCGCAAAGCCTTGGGGAGGAAGCAGTGAAATGTATTAGAGGCAGAAAGCGGGATCTGTTTTCATAAGTGTGCCACATGGAGGACAAAAACAGCAGTCCATCAGACCTGCAAGATATGGCTAAAAAGAACACTAAAAAAAACCTATAAGTCAAATAAATAAATATATAACAGATCTAGTTATGATATATATGATGGAGTGGTTCGTAAGTAACTTATGTATAGAAACAATCATTCTGAATGCATAGAATGAGGTGATTTCATTATTTCATTAACAGAATGAGGTGATTTCATTTTCCAGGTTTCCGTGTCTTCACTGTTATACACTCGGGGCACTATTACGCATCTCCTGAATGAGTCCACTATCTCCCGATCAAAAACACAGATTAGGAAGACGCAGAAACGTGCGATCTCATATGTAAGCAGATGCATATGAAAAATAATGTGATCATCAACAATAAACAGCATATCAATGAAAATCGATCAAGGAAGCGGTGAAGGACTGTGAAGCTTTGGTGTTGATGGAAGCGATCCACTGCATCTATGCTTTGATCAACAAACTGAATATGATCCAGATGTAGTCTTTGATAAAAACGTGATTTTATCAGCTTTTTGATCAAAATGCTGCTTTTTTTATTAAACTTACCTACATTACCTATAAAATAAAAAAGAATGCTTGAAGCCAGAATAAAACAGAAATGTTTGTTTAAAAGTAGAAGCTCTGTTCTTTATTTTGATGTATTGCATGTTCAGATATTCATACAACAAAATATTCTGGAGGCCATGACATTTTTGTGAAAATGAACAAAAATGCTGGCGGTGGCTGGCAAGTTTTTTTCAAAAATAGAAAGAGTTAAAGGAATAGTTATCCCAATAATAATAATAATAATAATGGAACACTAAAAAAAACCTATAAGTCAAATAAATAAATATATAACAGATCTAGTTATGATATATATGATGGAGTGGTTCGTAAGTAACTTCAAGAAACAATCATTCTGAATGTATAGAATGAGGTGATTTCATTATTTCATTAACAGAATGAGGTGATTTCATTTTCCAGGTTTCCGTGTCTTCACTGTTATACACTCGGGGGCACTATTACGCATCTCCTGAATGAGTCCACTATCTCCCGATCAAAAACACAGATTAGGAAGACGCAGAAACGTGCGATCTCATATGTAAGCAGATGCATATGAAAAATAATGTGATCATCAACAATAAACAGCATATCAATGAAAATCGATCAAGGAAGCGGTGAAGGACTGTGAAGCTTTGGTGTTGATGGAAGCGATCCACTGCATCTATGCTTTGATCAACAAACTGAATATGATCCAGATGTAGTCTTTGATAAAAACGTGATTTTATCAGCTTTTTGATCAAAATGCTGCTTTTTTTTTATTAAACTTACCTACATTACCTACATTACCTATAAAATAAAAAAGAATGCTTGAAGCCAGAATAAAACAGAAATGTTTGTTTAAAAGTAGAAGCTCTGTTCTTTATTTTGATGTATTGCATGTTCAGATATTCATACAACAAAATATTCTGGAGGCCATGACATTTTTGTGAAAATGAACAAAAATGCTGGCGGTGGCTGGCAAGTTTTTTTCAAAAATAGAAAGAGTTAAAGGAATAGTTATCCCAATAATAATAATAATAATAATAATAATAGTAATTATATCTCAAATTAGTACAAATGTATGACATAGTATGACTTACACACTACCGTTCAAAAGTTTGGGGTCAATAAGATTTTTTAAAATGCTTTTAAAAGAAGTCTCTTTCAAGGCAGCATTTATTTTTGTACAAATTTTTTTTGATTATTGTTTTACAATTTAAAATAGCTGTTTCTATTGTAATATCTGTTAAAATATAATGTATTCCTGTGATGTAGGGCTGAGTTTCATTCCTCCAGTCTTCAGTGTCACATGATCTTCAGAAATCAGTATAATATGCTGATCTGCTGCTCGAGAAACATTTCTGATTATTATCAATGTTGAAAACAGTTGTGCTGCTTGATATTTTTGTAGAAACCTTAGAAGAGCATTTATTTGAAATAGAAATCTTTGTAACAATTTAAAAGTCTTTACTGTCATTTTTGATCATCATTGCTGAAAAGAAAAAAAACTAAATAGTTTTGAATGGTAAGACTTGAAATACAGTGCGCAAGTCACCACTTTTATGTTTTGTTGTTGTTGTTTTTCCGTTTTAGAGATTGGAAGCTGCAGTCACCGTTTGTATTCCATTATATGGAATGGAGTTTAAAACAAACATGAGCGTAAGTAAACCCTGCCAGAATCTTCCATTTTTTACTGAACTACTGCTGTAAACACCCAAAAATACAAGACAAGCACATCTGAACTACAGGTTAATGCTGCATTTTACATATATATAGATAGTTTGACCCGGAAACTTAAACTCAACACAAGAATGAGAAACAGCAGAGGAACACGAGCTCGACAGTCGTGTATGTCGCTGTTTACTCCTTTAACGCAAGAACCATCAGAGTTATTTCCGTCTCAATAAACTCTTCATTAAATCGATCTATGCAACTAGACAGCAAGTAGCACCTCACTTTAGGGACTCCCATCTATTTTTATGCAAATGTAACCCGCCCGCTTCCAAACGAACGGCGTGTGTGAGCAGACGAGCGGAGCGGTGACACACGGCTAATCACGCGACTCCCTCTGTCTGATTGAATAATAAATGACTCCATCAACGCGTCATTACACCGCGTTAGATCAACCGCTGATAAATATTTACCCATGCGAACAATCCAATAAGATTAGAATGTCGTTATGAATTATAACTCCACATGGAGCACAATCAAGAAACAGAGGGAGAGAGAGAGAGAGATAAAGAAAACATCGGTCTCTATGAATCCCGCAGCTGTGAGAGAGAAAAAAACGACAACGCAGACGCAGATTAAACCGTTACTCTCTTGAGAATCGACTTTACAAGCATGGAAACCGCAAGTTTGTTTACAGATAACTAACATACCGAATCGACGAGTCAAAGCCCTGAGGGGCGGCAATATATACGAAGAACAAAAGGATGTAATATCTAATATGTATCACGCTCACATTATCGACCCGATGTGTATGTAATTCGCAAGGTCGTGTTTAATCCTTGACCCCGTTGGGTTTGTGTATTTGCACTAGCGGCGAAAGCTTGCACATATATAAGGTCTCATGCAAAAATATAGCCAAGCAATTAAAACATAATAACGCTTTGGGACACTGGGGAAATTAACTTGTGGTGTTGGGTTTGTGTAAGCGGACTGAATGATGTATGTAAATTAGTTTTAGATGAGATTATGAATTATCCCGCAGCTGTGCCCTTTCTGTGCCCTGTGGCGAATCCCGGCCAGAGCTCTCTTTTTTTTTTTTTCATTCATTCTCCTGTTGCAGCCGAGTTTGTTCTCATCTTGCCATATTGTATACAATCATCTGGACCAGGCCAAGCCAAGCCGAACAAGACTGGGCCAAAGGAAGCTCTTGATGATAAATGTGGAATGACACTCTACCTACAAGCAATATTCTCATATTTTCTCTTTCTTGGAGTTGTTATTTAACAAATTTCTCAAATACAGCAGGCCATATGTGAGCTGAGAGATATATTTGATAAGGTTTATCATGATATGCCTTACAGCCAGAGGTGGGTACTTTTAGGAGTAGATTTAGAGGTGAGCAGTGGTGGGTAAAGTACTTGCAAATTGTAGTTTGCTACTGATTTCAAATTACAAGACAAATTTTGTAGTCAGTAATGTAATCCATTACACATTTTAGGTAATATAATCAGACTCATTTTGGATTACTTTTGACCTAACTCGTTTATCACATTGATTTAAAGGGGTCATATGATGCTATTTTAAAGATAATTATTTTGTGTATTTGGTGTAACAGAATATGTTGACATGCTTTAATGTTCAAAAAACACATTATTTTTCAAATACTGTACATTATTGTAGATCCTCTATGCCCCGCCTCTCTCAAACACTTCGTTTTCTACAAAGTCCCTCCTTCTGACAAGCACAGTCTGCTCTGATTGGCCAGCTGACCCGGTGCATTGTGATTACAGTCGCTGATTCAGAAGCGCCAGATTGTCATAGCAAAATCGGAATAGACCCTTTTTTTTCTTTTTAGAAATACCCTTTGTGCACAGCCAGCCTTGTACTCTTCTAGGTTCAAATAAATAAAATCATCCATAAAATGCGTTGCACAAATTCGAACATCTGGGTTGTGCTGTTCTGCTGTAAATAAATCTTAACCAAAGATTCCTAAATGCATCTACTTCCGGAAGGCCAAATAAAGTGCTTTTGCTTTCGCACTGAAACACACAGCGTCTCCCTGACATGCTGCTTCAACACTAACTGCGGTTACTGAAACCACGCCTTCTTTCTTTGCGTGCACATTTGGGCGCATTATGCAAATATTTCCACATAGTGATGTAGATATGTGGGGGCGTGTTAGAACGAGGTGTTTTAGGGGGGGCGTGGCAGAGTCTTAACTTTGATAAAGAATATCTCTTTGGATTTGAGACTTTAGTCTTTGCAACTTTACAGATCTTCTTTATGCACCAAGAGCTTGTAACACTCCAAAGAGAAAGCAAAACTTGAAATCGCATCATATGACCTCTTTAAATAAGATAATCTCGTACCATATTGATATAAAAACACAAAGAGAAAGAAAATAAATTCCATTTGTTATTAACAACATGAAGAGCATTAAACATTACATTAATCTAAATGCTAAAAAAAACTAAATGTGTTCATCAGTAATTCATGCAATGTTGAAATGTTGAGAAAACACTTCTTAAAACTGAAATGATTTCTGTAAATCCAGTGGTCAAATGATTTTCTGTGTAATTATAGCCACCTGACTATTGACTGGTCTTTGTGTGAATTTCCAGATACTGGAAGACTTTCTGAATGTATATAAGCGGTAGATTATTTTAGAAAGGAAAATGTAAAAGATGAAAAACAAAAATTATGGAGAATCAAATTCAGAATAATTTAATTATATTTTGTTAATATGTATAATCAATAAAAAAAGTAACTGTAGTCTGATTACCAGTATTTTAAAATGTAATATAACATCTAATCTAATTTCAAATACTTATTTTTTGGAATCTGATTACATAATCCAGATATTACATGTAATCAGTTACTCCCCATCTCTGAAGGTGGGTTCTTTTACATTAGTTTTATCCTCAGACCATTGGCTGAATGTCTGATGCATATAATGAGAAAACACACGAAATGCAAAACACTTTACGAGTCTGGAGGTCGCCATCTGATTGGTTGAATTCCACATGATTACCTTGAGACGTGTCACATTCTTTAACGGTGTGACTGGGATCAAAGCCGTTATGACTCCAAACCCTCTGTTTGAAGAAGAGAGCCGCTGTGTTTACAACTGTGACAACGAGCGCTTATCATGATCAACTAAACGCTGGATTTTCAAGACTCAGACTCAGACTCTTGACGACTGAAGACAATGTTCCTGAATGAATGATTTATCGGCTGCAGGCCGATTTATTAATTTAGAGACATCAACTTCAGTCGAACAACATGTATTGTGATTGTTTGCTTTACATGTCAATCAGTCCTTGAGACGTGTCACATTCTTTAACGGTGTGACTGGGATCAAAGCCGTTATGACTCCAAACCCTCTGTTTGAAGAAGAGAGCCGCTGTGTTTACAACTGTGACAACGAGCGCTTATCATGATCAACTAAACGCTGGATTTTCAAGACTCAGACTCAGACTCTGACAATTGCGACTGAAGACAATGTTCCTGAATGAATGATTTATCGGCTGCAGGCCGATTTATTAATTTAGAGACATCAACTTCAGTCGAACAACATGTATTGTGATTGTTTGCTTTACATGTCAATCAGACGGCCTTATGGGCGGTGCTTGGTTACGCTTTTGTACATTTGAGTACATTTGTAATTACTTTTTTACTTCATTACACTGGGCATTGGCTCATGTGAACATTTCGTCAATGTAAGTCTATGGGATCTTTATGATTTTTGATCTTCCTTTTTATGAAAACCATAAGTTGGATCATTTAGAAAAGATAAAGCACACTAAGTCAGAATAGTCTGAAGGTCTGAGCTGAGTTTGGTGGTTTTAGCTTGAAAGTTCTAGGAGTAGTTAGAGTCAGAAAATGTAGTGTCGGAACAATAATAACTATATGTTTAAATAGCATTTCATTAAGCTGGCTTTCTCAAGCCAACCTAATAATGGTAGAAGTTTCAAATGACTTTATGCAGGTTAATTTCAACAGACATTATGAAATGAGGAAGAAGTTCTGAGCTCTAAAAGTTTAATAGAGTATCAGGGTTATCGTACTGCATGAACCTTCAAGGAAATCAAGAAAGATTTTTAATCGACCTCATGATAACCTCTACTGCTGCATCTGATCCACGAACAACTTCTGTAAACTTTAAACAGAGATGTTATTCTTTGTTTAGTTAGAGAGAGAGGCGGGATGAAAGGCTGACAGCAAGGCTTTCAAAGCTCTGAGGAAGACTGAAAGCTCAGGAAAGTGTGGAAAGACAGAGAGGCAGAAAGGATAAAGCGTGAAGCGGTCTCTGCATCTCCTCCAGAGAGGGGCTTACTGTTCGAATCGGATGTTGCGCAGGTCTGCGTTATTAATCCGGACGATACAGTCGTTCTCCTGGAACAGAGCATCCCGCTCCGCCTTCCCGCCCCTCTCCAGCCTCTTCACTAACAAGCCCAGCGTCCTGGAACAGTCACAGCAGATATTAGTGACATTGAGCTCAGTGTCAGCGCAGTATCAGCTACAACACACATTACTGTCAGAGCCTGACACAGACGCACAGCTTCAACCAGGCATCATCTAACACAGAACACACACTTAGCTTCCATTTCATGTCGTTATGCAATTAAAATCAATGCATTTAAACACACTGTACAAGCAGTTTTGAGGATATTTTGAGGAATCAGAGGACCCTGTTGCTCAGATTGCTACAAGTATTTACTATGGTAAACACCGCTTCAGCAAAAATACCAGTTACTACAATTATTATAACTTCTGTACGTTAATAAATTAACACAGTGATACAGACTCAGAAGCTTTCAGAATTAAATAAATTATTATTATTATTATTAAATAATAAAATACATTAAATACATTAAATAAAAAAATATATATAAATAAATAATTATAAATGATTAACTATACTATTATTAAAATATTAATTACTTCAGTTACAGTACAGTAACACAATTAATTAATATGGCATCTCCTTTAAAAATGTTAAGAAGCGTTCATAATTTCTGTAAGTTAGCCTTCAATAATAATAATTATTATTATTATTATCATTATTGTTTATTTATTTTAATTATATATATATATATAATTTGTATTATTATTATTATTATTAAGTAGTGGTAGTATTTTGGTGGAAACTATAGTAATCATGGTAAATGCTTGTAAAACACAAAACTACAAACATTATATTCAACACAATCAAAAAAGCAAACCTGTGTGTCCACTGCATCCTTTCATGAAAATATCAGACAGTCAAGAACAGCATATATATTTCATATTCAAAAAGGATTAAAGAAAGTATAATGTTAGTGATACACGGCACAGTGTCACCTTTATCAAATCTAGATACAAGTACAGTAAAAAAAGAACACAGATCCCATTGATCTTGAACTTTTGAGAAGTTTACTGTACCTCGCGGCACTCTTTCAACTCAATACATCAAAAAAGGACTTTCTGAACTTAAGCCGACTTTGGCCATATGGATTTTTTGGCACCGTTCGCAGACCTGCTGTGGTTTCGGATTCAGAGCGCTGCGGCCCCTAATCTACAAACCCTGAGACGCAATCATGTGAAATGCAGCATCACATTTGATGGGTTTAAAAAAGCATGGAGAAGATTCTGATATAAATAGAGCGTATGAACTCTTACTCTTACACTCCCTGAGGCCTGAGTCTGTCACATCAGCAATCTTCAACAGAAAACTTTCACTAAAACTAAAACAATACATTAATAATAACAAAGTTATGTGTGCGCACGTGTGTGCGTGAGTGTGTGTGTGTGCATGTGCGTGCGTGTGTGTGTGTGTGGTTGTGTGCGTGTGCGCGTGTCTGCGTGTGTGGTTGTGTGTGTGTGCGTGTGTGCGTGTGTTTGTGTGTGTGTGTGTGTGTGTGGTTGTGTGCGTATGTGTGTGTGTGGTTGTGTGCGCGTGTGGTTGTGTGCGTGTGCGTGTGCGTGTGTGTGTGCGTGTGCGTGTGTGTGTGTGTGTGTGTGTGTGTGCGTGTGTGTGTGTTGTTGAGGGCAGCAGGCAGGAATTAGATCGTATAGATGCACAGACAGCAGAACCTGACTTGAATAGGTGATGTGGGTGAAGGAACAAATAAGGCATAAATACTGTGACTGAATCTGCTGGAGAAACAGACAGATGGACGAATCTATAGATCAAACCCTGTGCAGCAGACAGCTGTGATCGGTTTGAGTGCAGAGTTTGGCTGTGGTGAGTCTATGGTGTGGTCTTGTGAAGTAATCACACAGCTTGCACTTTGTCTTCATGATCTTGATGCAGAGCAGCTGTGGGGAAGAGCGAGGATTAAATCAGCTCCCACTGGACTGATGGACAATCTGTAGAGGCTCATTAGTAATTTGTTAAAACACAGACTTTAGGTGCGGTCACTCTGAACTTCTCAATGACTTCAAAACACGCAACAAATATGGCCGACAGGAGGTGCAGGATAGTTTCTGCTGCAAAGGAAAATAAACTATAAATGACCAGCATTAATGCAAAATATTAACACTGAGGATGCAATATATATCATTAGCCAACAGTATAATAAATCAACACTAATTAATGTATTTACAAGTAGATATGTAATTGTATATTAGCATTTCCCTTGTTTTTTACATTTATTTTTTCACTTAAAACGCTAGACTGAATGCAGTTAAATGATCTTGACATAATTATGCATTTTTTTGTACTGTACACTATATTGCAGTCACGCGTAGCATTTTAACCTTTTTTTGTTGGGTTTTAGTTTTTAGGTGTTGCATTTGTTTTATTTATTTAGACAAAATAATTCATTTAAAATTAATTTTGCCCATTTAATGAAATTGTGGTTATCAGTCATAATGTGAAATCGAATCTTCAAACAAATTTCAATTCTTCATTTTGTGCAATACGGTGTTGTAATGCTTAAATTCAAGAACTATAACGTCTAATTTTAGTTTTTAGTGTTTTATGTTTCATTTATTTAGACAGAATGGTCATTTTTACATCAGTTATTGGTCAAATGATTGATGAGAAATTGAATACAAACTCATCCCTAATTAAAGCATATTACCTACTATATTATCTGTGACAAGTTTAATGTTGTCCATTTAATGGTTATCAGTCATAACGTGAAATCAAATCTTCAAATGAAGTTTTTTTTTTTCATATTGGACCATGCAATGTTGTGATGCTTCAATTGACTTACAGCAAGGACTAATTTTTTGTGTTTTATTTTTCATTTATTTAGACAGAATGGTAATTTTAACATTTCAACTTTCAACAATTTTAACTTAAAGGCTTTCTTAATTTGCATACTACCTGCCCTAAATAGTTTGCAACATTATTATATCTCAGCACTGGCAGAGTATGTATTCAAAAGTATGAGTTTTCCCATCGAAGTAAGGACCTTTCAGGTGTAATATAAGTATGATAATTAGGATGCAGCCTATGCAACACATCTATGCACAAGTGTCAACACAAGGGTCCCTCAGTATATCATTTGACAATGCCGTGTCAAGGAGATTTCAGAAATGTACCGCATTTGGATCTATTGACTGAAACCAGATTTGAACAGTCATCTGGCACTTTTTCATAAGCTTTATCTGGCTTTAGCATAAGCAGAGTCACCGTCTCTTGAGCGATGGCCCAGAAGACTCAGCGAGAAGGAGACCACCTGTTCTTATCCACTGTCTTTAATTGAATAACAGCGCAATCAGGATCCATGTATGCCGAGCAATTAGACCCTGTCTTGTTTGCGGTGAACGCTGGTCATGTGATGAGATCTCGTTACTGGAGTCGTGTTTCTGCTGGACTCCGTGTCTCAGTAATTTTCTGAGATGTCACACGCCTCACGCTGTTGGCAGAGAGAAGACGCTGGTCATTTTAGAAGCTGACACTCTGAGCCCTTGCCGTCACCTCCGTGCCCTCTATCAAGATGCTAATGAGTTAACATTCAACACCTCCCACCAATCACACGAGACGAAGTCATTACGGACGTGTTGCTGTGGAAGTGTGCCATTGTGTTTGAGTGAGTATAATTGACAGTTCTGATTAGATATTAACTAAAGTATCAGATATGGGACAATTTACAAGCCTGAGATTCATTCAAGGACACGACGACAAGGACAAATTGCTACAGAAAGTGAGCAGAAGAAAATGTGTCAATTTATGAAAAGATGCATACATCCACACTTTAATTATATTCATAGCAGGCTGTGCAATAAAGGTTATAGAATTAATAATAATAATAATAAAATGTCATTTACAAATAAATTGTTTATTTTTAAATGTCCAATAACTAATATTTATAATCTGGCACACTGACACAATAATATCTACAATAACAGATCATTAATAATAATAATAATAATATTTTTAATGTTCAAAATCTACTATTTAGAACGCAGTTCTATTTATATTATTAAATAGGTATTGGCATTCATTTCATAAACCAGCATCAAATTAGGTCTGAAAAGGTTGTGCAATTTTATTGCTAATAAACAGCTCTCTGAAAATCCTTTTATAGACGTGACTGACTAAATTTGAACACTTTTTCATTCATTTGCACTTTCCTTTTATCATTTTGCATTTCTTACCACAGCTGACCTTGGCTGATGAGAATGACCAATAATATGGATGAGCTTTTAGTCAGATTGGGTGAAGCAGTTTAGACGAATTGACTTGGCCGGATTGAGGCTTTTCTTATTGCAATAAAGCTACCTAATTTATTCAGCGCCATGCCCCGCGTCCCCTTTGTCCTTCTGGAGGGACGCAGAGTGTTTAGCAGTGTTCTGTTCTTTCTGTGTCCTTATAGAGGATCTGAGCTGCTGTAGTTTTGCTTTCAATATTCAGCTGGAGAATGTGGTTATAGAAGTTGCACACATGTTCAAGAGGAGCCCACTCGAGAGAGTGCCATACTGTCAATACGTCCTTGAGGAATGATGAAAAACCAGTTTAAATGGATGGTACATGCTGGGGAATAAAAGTCAACTTCTGCATAGACACCTTGAGAGAAACTTGTCAAGATATGAGAGAAATATGAAGGATGCAGAGGACACAACTGAGGATTACGAGCTGCTCGAAAACACAACCGGTGAGTCTTAAAGGGATAGTTCACCCATAAATTAACATTTGCTGTTCATTTACTCCCCCTCAGGCCATCCAAGATGACAATAGCTGACTTTTTTACTTCAGTAGAACAGTAAAGAAGATGTATTAGCTGAAACCGTGGTCGTTGGTGCTTCATAACATGCAAGTCAATGGCTACCGCCACTTTGAGAGTCAAAAAAGCATATCAAGGAACACAAAATGAATACCCATGGCTCCTGATGAGATATTGAAGTCTTATGAAGAGAAACGATCGGTCTGTGCAAGAAAATGAACATTATTTACAGCATTATTAGCTGTAATCCAGAGCCTCAGGCAAACAGGGAAATCAGATTATTTTCTGTGAACTGGTTATTTCGGATAGTTTGTTTCAATTAACTAATTCAATTCAATTTGTGTTCCTGTGGCTCAGTGGTAGAGCATTGCGTTAGCAGCGCAAAAGGTCGTGGGTTCAATTGCCAGGGAACACGCATGCTGGTAAAAAATGTACAGCCTGAATGCACTGTAAGTCGCTTTGGATAAAAGTGTCAGCTAAATGCATAAATTATTCATTATTAAATTATTAATTCACTAGTTCGTTTACGTAATCACACAATGACAAAACATATACACAATTACATTATTAAAGCACCCAATAATGATGTGAAACACGAATGTATTTAAAGTGAATAAACTCATCTTCATCAGCTCACCTTTTGACATAAACCAAGAGAAACTATAAAAACGTCCTTTTGCACTTTCAAGTGTTGGGTTCACTCATGCTCATATCAGCGGCTCATCGGTCTTCGGTCCGAGTCGAACCGTTTCCTCAGTTCAGTGACTGTTAGAGGAACTGGAGCGCTGAATGATTTATTCATCACAGAATCAGATACACCGCTATTTCGGCTCCTTTCCAGCCGGACTGACTGTCAGGTGTTTGAAAGTGAGTTTTGATTGAGTAACTTGTAGATCTGTGCTGCTCGAGACATGAACTGTTTCAGGTGAGCTGGGTCATCTAGTTCACTAAAAAGAACCGGTTCAAAAGAATGATTCATTTGTGAACCGTACATCACTCTGGATCATTTGCCTGAGGCTTTGGATTACAGGTAATAATGCTGTAAATAATGTTCAGTTTCTTGCACAGACCGATCGTTTCGCTTCATAAGACCACAATATATCATCAGGAGCCACGGGTATTCATTTTGTCTTGCCTGTACATGCTTTTTTGACTCTCAAAGTGAATACAGCCATTGACTTGCATGTTATGAAGCACCAACGACCACGGTTTCAGCTAAAAATCTTCTGTACTGTACTACGGAAGACGAAAGTCACCTATGGTCATCTTGGATGGCCTGAGGGTGAAGAAATTAACAGGAATTTTTGGGTGAACTCTCCCTTTAAAAACAACACTGCAAGGAAGGAAAATATTAAAACCACGGCCTACGGAATGAGTTGCCGATAATAAAATGAATTCAGTGAAGACAATGTGGCTTTGTAGAGCTTTACCTTCTGTCTCTGGCACTGAAAGACACCACGTGGATTCCTAGCGGCCCACCGCCATTGGACACCTCAACCGGCTTCAACATTTCACTAGGGACATTGACAAATGAGGGCAATGAGAGGAGAAACAAAACAGAAGAAACCAAGTAAACAAAGAAAAGGCAATACATAAAAAGTTTAGAGCATGACAGAGCGGCTATGAGTAGCTATGAGCTACCGCCCGGGAAGCTAAGGCTAGTTTAGATCCAGCACGACTCCATCTATTACCCCAGGGGCCATTAAGACACACGGGTCGATGGAGGACCCAAACAGACACTTCAATTAAGTGATTAGGATCAGATTGAGGTCTGCAGAGGGCCACTTCTGGGTTTTTTAACAGTCAGGGAGCGCACTACACCTGAGAGAAAACATGTGGCAAGAACACATGGGATAAAGAGAGGACAACAAGCATCAGTAAAAAAGATGAGCACAAGAACTGATGAGGTGGTCATCGTTTCCTCACCTAAAAATTACCATTTGGAACAGGGCTATTATACAAAAAAAAATGCAATTAAACTAAGACCAATACATTTTTATATATAAAAGTGAATAAACTCATCTTCATCAGCTCACCTTTTGACATAAACCAAGAGAAACTATAAAAACGTCCTTTTGCACTTTCAAGTGTTGGGTTCACTCATGCTCATATCAGCGGCTCATCGGTCTTCGGTCCGAGTCGAACCGTTTCCTCAGTTCAGTGACTGTTAGAGGAACTGGAGCGCTGAATGATTTATTCATCACAGGATCAGATACACCGCTATTTCGGCTCCTTTCCAGCCGGACTGACTGTCAGGTGTTTGAAAGTGAGTTTTGATTGAGTAACTTGTAGATCTGTGCTGCTCGAGACATGAACTGTTTCAGGTGAGCTGGGTCATCTAGTTCACTAAAAAGAACCGGTTCAAAAGAATGATTCATTTGTGAACCGTACATCACTCTGGATCATTTGCCTGAGGCTTTGGATTACAGGTAATAATGCTGTAAATAATGTTCAGTTTCTTGCACAGACCGATCGTTTCGCTTCATAAGACCACAATATATCATCAGGAGCCACGGGTATTCATTTTGTCTTGCCTGTACATGCTTTTTTGACTCTCAAAGTGAATACAGCCATTGACTTGCATGTTATGAAGCACCAACGACCACGGTTTCAGCTAAAAATCTTCTGTACTGTACTACGGAAGACGAAAGTCACCTATGGTCATCTTGGATGGCCTGAGGGTGAAGAAATTAACAGGAATTTTTGGGTGAACTCTCCCTTTAAAAACAACACTGCAAGGAAGGAAAATATTAAAACCACGGCCTACGGAATGAGTTGCCGATAATAAAATGAATTCAGTGAAGACAATGTGGCTTTGTAGAGCTTTACCTTCTGTCTCTGGCACTGAAAGACACCACGTGGATTCCTAGCGGCCCACCGCCATTGGACACCTCAACCGGCTTCAGCATTTCACTAGGGACATTGACAAATGAGGGCAATGAGAGGAGAAACAAAACAGAAGAAACCAAGTAAACAAAGAAAAGGCAATACATAAAAAGTTTAGAGCATGACAGAGCGGCTATGAGTAGCTATGAGCTACCGCCCGGGAAGCTAAGGCTAGTTTAGATCCAGCACGACTCCATCTATTACCCCAGGGGCCATTAAGACACACGGGTCGATGGAGGACCCAAACAGACACTTCAATTAAGTGATTAGGATTAATGCATTTAGCAGATGCTTTTACCCAAATATTTTATTTTACAACTGTATTAAAATACAGTTAATATTTTAACAGTAAGAAATATATAGCAGGGTTATTATAGTTACCTAAAGCTAAAAAAAAACAATGAAATCGAAATTGAAATGAAACTTTAAGTAAAATAAAATATAATATAAAAAACCTTAAACTTATTTTATTTCAGCTAATTGCCCAGGCAACGTTTCTTTTAGTTCGACAATCTACTAAAATAACTAAAACTAAAGCTGAAAAAAATAAAAATTTAAAACTACTGTATATACATACTGTATTATATACATGTATATATACTTCTTTCTTACATTTCTTAAATTAGTTGCTTAATAGTCACTGATCACAGTTTTTCAATACATGGGAAAAGGCAGCCTGGACATTTTCCTAAATATCCCATTTTGTGTTCAGTAGCTTTTTTTTTCAGGTGGATACCCTTTAAGACATTTTAGTAGAAAACAATGATGTGTTGGATTTTGTTGGTTGTGAGAAAAACAGAAAGTGGTTCCCAAATCATGTGTTGGTCTTGCTGTGAGGACTCACTCGAGTGAAGCTGATTCCACACAGGAGTCTGCCCTTCCCACCGGCTCTATCCTGCCGTTCCTCCCGCTGCCTGCTCTCTCCTCGTCTTCTTCTTCTTC